AAAATGACACTACCACCACAAAAACCATACAGATAGTTTATGCCATAAAGCCAAGTAAGCTAATAGTTTTTGCTGTATTCATCACCAGAAAATTGCAATTAAACCCCAATGTTTTATTCATATGCATTTTCAAAACAGTTTCAATTAAAAAATAACAAATGGAAAGAACTGATGTTACCATGAAGAAACTCAAACTCTAATAACTTTTGACAGTATCAATTGTTGCAACTGTTTTAGACAACTAATTTATCAATGACTGCTGTGGCTGTCTTTACCACAATCTCTTGGCTTTCCAGTGTACAATAAACAGGAATGACCTAGTGTACTCATAAAAGATGAATAACAACATCCATCATACTGGTACTGATACTAGCTTAGAATTGAATACTTAACACCCAACACCCCAAATGTCCACCAACAGTAGAAAGCATACATGTTGGAATGTTCATACAATTAAATACTGTTCATCAATGAGAACAATGTGCATGAATTTCAGAATAAATAACAATATGCAGAATATAATTTGTTTTTATTTAGTGTTCTAAATTTAGCTAAATTAATCTCAGAAGTCAGACACAAGTTCTATATACAAGTTTCAATATACTTGTAATATTCTGGATGTTCTGCGTACTTCTGACATAGGTGCCTTCATTTGGTAAAACAGTCTAGAGCAATACAATGAAGGCATTTCTCCTTACACTGTCTGAAACTTCATTAAAATATTTTATTTTGTGGCTTAGATACTGTTTTTTGAGTATGTTCACTTCCTAAAAATTAACTGATACATACATATATAACTCATTAATTTTAAGGCCTTATTCTAGACTTCAAAGCAAGCTTATTTAAATATAGTTAACTAGAATGGAACTAGATATGTTGCCTAACATGGGTTATATAACTAGAATAACATATTTATATGTAACTAGGACATGTAAAGCATAACTAGAATATAAATTATATAAACTATAGCTAGAAAGTATATAGTTCCATCTCCAAAACAGCCATGGCCACAGCAACACAGATTTGAAATTGAATAGAAAGGGGGCACAAAATTCTTTATGACAGCTATTAGAAACAGCTTTAGGACAATCTCCTGGGATCATGACAATTGTTTACCCTTGTCCTACTTCTCATCATTTGGTCATTTATCAAGTGAAAAACATTTGAGAATATAAGGGATGGAATATAAAATAGAGGGATGGGAGAATTTTTACCATTTTAAGAAAACTCTATATTTACCATGTCCTTTGGAGACTTTACTTGCCATTTTAAAAGCCCCTCTACCCCCCTTGAGAATTATTGCTCAAGTTGCTTGGTCCCTTGAATTTTGCTTTGATTCTGAATTTACAAAAACATTTGATAGGGAATGTACTGTGTATGTTTATCTTTTTGATTGTTAAATAAAATACTGTTTGGCCAATGAGATAGCAAGTAGATAGGACTAGGAGTCAAAGAGGATTCTGCGAAATGTAGTAGAGAATTGCTGATCCAGGCAGGAAGTGTCATAGCAAGGAGACTCATATTTAAGCAAAGGAGAAACAGGAAGGGCCCTCTTTTCCTCTCCACTCCTGCTCCAGCGGCACGATGTGATCCACCAGCAAGGAGGGACACCAATAAGGCATCCGATAAGATAAGTCTTATAAAATATATAGGTTTATAATAGTTAAGACTGAGCTAACAACTGAGAATCCTAGTCATTGGCCAAGCAGCATTGTACCTAATACAAGTTTCTGTGTATTCATTTGGGCCTAACTCCGGCGGGGAAGCTTGCGTAAAGCCTACACATGGCAGTGGGGCTCAGTGGCTTTTGGCAGAAAGATTTATCATAACAAAAACAGTAAAAATATGTTTACTGGAGATTGTGTATACAAACAAATGATTCATTTTCATGTTGACTCTCGAAGGACTCCAAGCAAAGCTTTTAGTGATCCTTATATAGATTTTTAAAAATATATGCACTATGTTCCAAGAACACAGAGGAACTTAACCTGGTGATTTAGATTGCTTTCAGCAACAGTTGGGGTGTTTTATTTAATGTTTCTTTATTGACTTTGAAGTCTTGAAATAAAAGAGAAATACACTTTTCTTTGGGATGAACTATTTAAAATCACTCAGCTTTTTATTTATCAGTCTACTGTGCAGATTTACTCTTAGTCACATAGCCAAAAATGCCTTTAAAAGTATTTCAAAGTAAGCAGAAAAAGCCCATTGTGTTTATTCATACACTTCATAATTGTAGATAAAAATAATCAGTCATTATAACTGATTCCTAATGTTTAGAGTCTCACAAGATAAATTACTGTGGCACAAACCAAGGTTTTCACGTGAGATTATATTCATAAAATGAAAATTATATTTTAAACTGTTGATAAATATACATTTGGCTTTCTAAATTTATATCATTTTAGTACTAGTGTTTCAGCACAGTGCTGGATGTTATATGATTTTTTAAAATCCTCATTTACTTGGCTGAAAATTTTAGTGGGAAAAAAGTCTCTCCTTGAGTTGAATCTCAACTTTGGATCACTGTTTCACTGAATTTAAGTTGAATTTTTTATTATATTTCCTCTCACTGAGTAGTCTGTTTTTGCCTTAGGATGACTTGTTCTTGGATTCTATATGATTACTTTAAGAAAATCCATAGGTGGTAAATTACACAGATTTACACAACTAGTTAATAACATGTTAAGTAAAATAGGAATCAGCAGAATATAATTGTCAGTAACAAACTCATTTCTCAACTTTACTGATTCCACAACCATTGTTGGTATGTCTATGCCTTCTCCTACTCCTTCTGGGCCTCGTGTATCCCTAACTGGCTTCTATCCTCCTTCTGGGTCTCATGTATCCCTAACTGGCTTCTAATTGTGTACCTGAGAATGATCTAGACCTTCTAATTCCTGCTCTCCCTGCTGCTTCTACCTCTCATCTGCTAGTATTAAAGCTCTGCACTGTCACACCCAGTTGATGTGGTTCTGGGAATCAAACCCGGGAATTTCCTCATGTTAGAGAAGCTCTCTAGCAACTGAGCAACACACTTTGTCCTGGTTTTTTTCCTTTTTTGATCATTCTTTAGTATAATAGGAATTAACCAAGTAGGCAATCATGACAAAAATCATTTTCCCATTATCACACATCACAGGAAACTTACACTATCACCAGTAATATCAATAAGAGAATGAAGAGTAAATTCAAACAAGAGAAGAGGGAAATCTATTAAAGAAAGACACTTTGAACTAAACCCTGCATCTGAGGATCAAAACAAACAAAGAGAATTCAAGATTATGCTGCATTTTTAAAAAGTATTTTAACTGATACATAAGGGAATGAAACTTGGGAATACTGATGAATACTAACATTTAAAGCACACTAAACATGTTACCTCTTTAAGAATGTGTTTACTTCTTTGTGGTGGAAATTCAAAATTCTTTTCTTTTAATATTGCTGTCATCTATAATCACCCTGTTATGGACACTAAAAGCCCTTGTTTTGGCTACTTACTGGGAGGTGATGTAAGGGAAGAGGAAGCAGACTGGTTGAAAATAGGGGGTTTGGGGAGCTGTCCAATGTACTAAGGATTTCCTTTAAAAAGAACCTACATCTTTCCTGACTCCCCCTGAAGTCAGCAAGTCTCCACTTACATATTTTCCGCTCTTTCTTCTCATGCCTTTGAAAATGTTTTCAACATATTGTTTAGCTCTGGGTTTTTTTGGGGGGGCTTGTTTGTTTGTTTGTCCATTTTTGTTTTTGTTTTTCAGATCTCTATAGTGCATCATTAACTACAGCCATCAATAAACCAAACACTGAAAAATAGACTTTCTGTGTGACAATTCGGGATGTACAAAAGTCAGTAAAACTTCATTCTTAGTATATCAAATTTACAATATCTTCGATTTCTGTGAATAGCCTCCAAGAAGAATTCAGTAAGGTATTGTTTTCCATCTTAAACCTTACTGTGGGATTTAAATGAATGAGGAGTAGCACAGATCAAAGTATTGGATGCTCCTTTGTTCAAGAACAAATACTTGATTGGCAATTTAAAAGTCCAAAGACTGACTCCTCAGCAGAGGGTGAGCTGTTCTCTGGATTACTGAAGCTAAATCGTATCTTTCAAAGGAGGTTTGTGGATTCAGGAGGAAGAGGGGACAACACAAAAGGACGGTGTTGCTTTGCCCCCTAAGGAGTAATAATACAGTAAAGGGCATGTGCAGTATATGTTCCGAGTCTCCATTTTTTATTTCATTATCACCATAATATTTTTCCCTCAAATCCAATCCCCCTCTATAGAGGATAAGGCGAGAAAGAATAAAGTCAAGTATCTCAATTTTCAGGCTGATTGTATCCAAGCCGACTTCAGAAGTCAGGTCCGTAACCAGGCAGTGAGTTGTTTGCGATGTCCTGGAAGGAGAAAAAGCACCGGTTCCAACAGAGACAGTGGGGAATGTGCTCGGGCCCCCCCTGGCCATGCTTACTTAAGCTAATGGAAGGTTTTGCCTTTCAGCAGCCGCTGCACTGGGATACCAGACAAACAACTCTCCTCGACCCCTAGCAGGAAGGGCCCCTCTTCTGGACATCATTAAAAGCGCATGCCCTTGTTTCACAACCATTGGCAAATGGCGACGAGACTCGGGACTTCTCTCCTGAAGTCAAGGAGAAGCCATTGCAGTGGAAAGATTTGGGCTTTAAAGTTTCAAACCGAAATTAAAGATCTACATGGGATAAGTGACCAGGAGAACACTGGTTGGATACACGGGTGAGACCAGACACAAAAAGCACAGCAGGTAAGAACTGGGGGTTGCTGCCAAGAAGGAACTGCCCTGCGTGGTGCTGCAGGGGAAAATGCTTAGACCTAAAAGCTTGTTGGCCTGAGCCTTCCCTGAGTGCTCAAGCTTGTCATCTTCTATCAGCTTCCAGATAAAGGACATTGCCCTAGCCTTGCCTCTCCCTGCGAATAATACATTTGGCTTGATTATAAATACTAATGTCCCTTGGCTCGCTTCTGGTGATGATGCGCCAAAAGAGTCGAGGCCATTAAGAAGCCCCATCCACAGCTATGCCCTTCCTGCAAGAAAATCGATGACATAGACACTGAGAGATGGCCACCTATCCTGAGAGCTACTTGGACAGTACCATGCTGAACTTCGTCGCAGATCTCTCTTTGGCCTCTCCGAGACACCCTCTTCTCTGTGACTTCCCACCTGGGGTCCCTTTGGGGGACCAAACACTGGGCTTCAGAGAGAGAAGACCCAGGGGGTTGTCGCAATTTGAGGAAACAGACCAGGAGGATGAGGGGAGCGAAGTGATCTATGAGGACCGGGAGGAGGAGGAAGAGGAGGGAATGGGACGCGAGAGAGTAGCATCCTTGCTGGGCCGCCCCAAAAGGAAAAGGGTCATCACCTACGCCCAGCGCCAGGCCGCCAACATTCGCGAGAGGAAGAGGATGTTCAACCTAAACGAGGCCTTCGATCGGCTGCGCAGGAAGGTGCCCACCTTTGCTTACGAGAAGAGGCTGTCTAGGATCGAGACCCTCCGCTTGGCCATCATCTACATTTCCTTCATGACGGAGCTGCTGCAGAGCAGCGAGAAAAAGGAGACCGGCTAAGTGTGGAGGGGAGGGCCGAAGCCACCCACCCCCACACCGTTGAAGGGGGAGCGTTGGAAAGGCAGAAGGACCCCCGGCCTTCTGAGACTGGGTTTGAGATGGTAAAATCCCCACTTGGGCAGCTCTGCAGCCAATGCCTTGGGGATCGCGTACAAAAGGGTTTCCTAAGTGTTCAGCTGGGCCTCTTGGGACTCCCGGGGTCAAGGCTCCAGTGGAAGGGGCGGGAAACTGCTGCGCTTCTCCAAGTACCTTTTCTGAGCTTGCTCCTTGCTCCTTTCAAAAGTAAAAATAATAAAACAAAACATTTTCTCACGCACGATTTGTTGCTGCCCCATCAGGACCTCCAGCAGGGGCTTCACTGTGGCCGGTGCTGGTGCTGGTGAACTCACCTAAAGCCAGGGGATGGCGGTGGGTTGAGGGGGAGGGGCAAAGAGGACGGGAGTGAAGTAGGGAGTAGGGACCAGCTCACAAAATGCAGCCTCTGAGAAGGGT